AGGAAATAGGCTATTAACTAATATCCTGCATGTTTCTTGTCTCTACCGAGTATTCCTGAGTATTCCTAAGTTTCTACAGGGAGCCCTTGGGTTGAATTTGAACAGGAACATTCTGACTTTGGGTGAGAGAACATCACAAAGTTTCACGTACATTAAACACAGGGTTCAGTTATAAACTGGAGCAAAAGCACTGGCTAGCTTATTTAATTTTGTTCATAAATTAGTAGGGGAAAAGATGTAGAAGACCTGGGTACACTTCTTGTTTCAGAAGAAATATGATGCAGGCAAAACAAACTGTGTTAACAGAACAGACTTGTTGATACAGGAAAATGAAATGGAAACCAAATCTTTCTGGTGGAAAAAAAAAACCCTTAACAACTTTTTATAGGTGGCCTGGCTCAAGTGTTGGGATCAAATTTGAAAATTTATGCAACAACTAAAGACATCACAGATAAGCCTTTAAGGCCCTGATTAAGCTGCAGTGATCCAAATGACTGCAAAGGGATGAGAGCACCAGCCAGCTGACAGGCAGGGCACCAACAGCATCTTTCTCTGTCCCTCTGCTATCAATTCCCTTGTCTTAAGCACATATTTGAAGTTCAGCACACACATTTAAAAGATGTTCTGAATTATGGGCCTGGAAGGAACAGATTTGCAGCAAAAGATCAGAAAGCTGGCACCAATCTGTCTGCACTCCAGTTGTACCCCTGTTCCTCTTTGCCTTCCCTTTGCTCCCTACAAGCACCCACAGCCCAAACCTCCTATACTTCACTTTTAATAAGCTTTTGAGTTTCCAAACCTTCCCTGCCAGTAGCTTCCAAGATCTCTGAGATTTCCAGTACTCTGATGGTTAAGGAGGAAAAGCACAGCTTCCCACTTGCTCCCAAGCTCCCTAACACTGCACAACTGAGCAAACTTGTTGAAGGAACAAATATGTCAGTAACAAGAGTCAATCAAAATCTTTAGCAATGTCAATCAACCCCAAAAAGTTAAGAGAAAACAATGATAGGCATATGGAGTGGCACAGTCCATCCAGGGTAGGTTACAGCTTTAAAACAGAAGAAAGAAAAAGCTGTAGTAAAGAATATTCCTATATCTGCTGTTTATTGACTCAGGATTTTCCATGGGCATTACTTAGAGGGCTGAGTCCTTACACTGCCTGTGAGGCTCTGCTGGGTTCAGGTCAGCCTTCAGCCCAGAGAGGGATGATGTAAAAGGAACAAAACACTTCAATTCCCTTCTTAGCATCCTAGAAGAATACTTACAAGAATGTTTCCTGCTACAGAACTTTTGAATTATGATAACTAGAAACAGTGAGGAAGGAGCTTTAAGTCATATGCAGTTTTCTCTTCTTGAGTTAATTCAGAGCACAGTGCTGCTGATCACACATGGTATCAATAGAAATAAAAGGGGAATTAGTGTCTGGCACAGACATAGCTGTACATCACTAGAACAACTATTCTGAAATAGCTTTAAGTTGTCTGAACTTGAAGCACATCACAGCAAATAATGTAGAGGCTGAGGAGTCCCCTCCATCAGCCTTCTCCAAGGAGAACAATAAGAAATGATGATGACAGAGCTGTTAACAACATCTAACACTGCTAATTTCACCACAACAGCTCCTTGCCTTGGTACAGATCCTGCACTGGAGGAGAAGGAACACACAGCAGACCACTGGCAAGGTCTGCTGGAGAACTCAGAAATGCCCATCCTGAAGCAGCATTCATTGATTGCATGGTGCCAGGAGGGAGAAGCAACATCACAGAGAGCAAAACATGATGGCACCAATGTACACTTACAGAAATCCAAATGGATTACCCCCAAATTAAGGAGGGGAGGGGTTGACATTTTCACACGTTGTCATGGTTGTCTGTATCTCCTCAAGTAATACAGAGTTTTGACACGCTGTTCTTCTCCAGTCTGTGCAGCCCTCTCTTTTATGACTACAAATCAAATGAGATTGTCAATCTTTCCTATGGCCTGTGACTGCTGGAAGGATGTAATGAGAGCAATATTTTGGCTTTGTGCAACTGTCTCTCAATTAGATGGCGATACTGAAATCTGTTCTCTTCAGACTCTCCTTTCTCTCTTGATCCTTATCTGGAAAGATGGAGGGAGGAGGGGAAAGACATATGAGATGTAAGATATATATAAGGAAATTCTTGACATCCCTGGAAGTGTTTGAGGCCAGGTTGGATGGGGCTTAAATCAGGCTGGTCTAGTGGAAGGTGTCCCTGCCATGGGCAGGGGGGGAACAAGATGATCTGCAAGGTTTCTTCCAACCCAAACCATTTCATGATTCTATGAATAAGAAAGATGAAATTCTCTTTTTAACAATGGATTGGTCTAGAGACAGCCTGTAGCTAAGCAAGACATGAGTATTTTGATATGTGCTTCTCAAACTGAGGACATATTCCTTTTTCAAAGGCTTGCACTCAGTGTGACAGTGAGCTTAAACAGACTCAAACATCAAGTCCAGTCTTTGTTGTACTCCACTAATTCTCATAAAATACTGCTCAGTGGCCATAAAATAGTTCACTTAAATCCCAGGCTGAAATGCATGATTTTATCTCAAAAGGAGAAAATAACTGCTCCAATTAAAACAAAGAAACTTTTATTCCTTCTTATCTTTCTTATACTATTTCCAGTATTCTCCACACCACCAGTAGGAACCCTAGGCACCATTTATTACCACATTTTCTACCTCCATGTACTTTCCTCAGTAGACACAGCCAAATGAATTGGTGCAGAATAATCCTTGACCACATCATGCACTCAAAAAAACGTTGCAAAACAAGAGTGCATCTCCAGCAGGAATTTGGCATCGTTCAAATGCCACGTGAAAGTAGGAATGGTTTTTGCAGTGATCCGTATTTTGGTATTGGTATATTTATCTGTATGATTTAAATGCATGGCTTAAATGTAAATAAAAATTAATTTAGTTTTTAAATTAAGAAAGAATCCTACATGTTCACAGGTACTTCTCTACGTGGTTTGTCTGCCAGTAGGGTTGGGATGTAAACACAAACTTTGTCCATATCATTTCACACTCCTAAGTCTGTCTTTGGACTTGGAGTCCATGGATGGTTATGTTGGTATTATAATGACAATGAAAACATTATTTTCCAGGCTAATAAAATAAGTAAAAATTACAATTATGTCATCTAGCATACATAACTCTTACAACAGTATAAATTTTATTCCACATTATGAAATTGCTCATAATGATTACTCACAATACTGTAAATTTTATTTAAATTAAGTAATTTATGTTCACTTTTTATTATCATTTTGAGTCGTACAGATGTTCAATACTGTTTGACAAACAAATTTAAAACATGAAAAACTCACTAAACATGCTAATTCTGCTACCTACCTGGACAAAAATCATATGTATTTATCACCCTTTGTTTCTCTCCACATATTGTCTGTATAACACAATACTATAAAAGACATCCTTTCTTGTATTTTAGTTTGGCTTCTGCAATGGGACACTGGCTTATTTCATGAAGTCTGTATTAGGGGAAAAATGCTACTTAGTCTTGATAGTTCTTTCTCCTAACAAAAAGCATAATAATGTTTATATCTTTGTCTATTTGTCGGACATGTTGTGTAGTTTCTTTGTTGCCTTTCACGAAGGCCAAAATAATTAATTAGCAGAAAATAATATAGAGGAATTAAAGCTGAGGTTGCATATGCCTGCCTTTCATTAGTCACTTCTGCTTCCAGAAATCAAATGGCAGAAACATACATTCCTCTTTCAGTCAAGATTGCCCCTTTGGGAGTGAGTCGAGCAGTTCATGTAAGAAGAGTCCTTTGTTCCCTTCACTTGTGGTATTGGAACAGTTGGTAATCAGAGATAAATCATCTACTGTTTGCCTTAATTTAATTTGTCTTTCACTCCAGAGCAAGGTGCTCAGAATTGCTTGATAAGACAAATAAATAGAAGAACGTAAAATAGATACAAATATTAATAACCTCATAGGCTCGGGAGGAAGCAATCGAGCAGGTGTGTGAATAGAGCCTGGAATATTTTATTTACTCAGTAATCCGAGAAAGGTCGGAATAAAGTTCAACCTGAAATTGCATTCAGGGACTGTCTCTTGCAGGCTCATAGTGCCTGACCCAAACCCCAAGATTCCAGGCTTAGAATTCAGTGTAGTGGGCAGTGATGATCAACACCCCATTCATTGTCTTTATGCTGTTTTGGTTACTCCTTTTCTCATAAACAAGCCTGGAGGTCTTGTGTGACCATCATCTATTCTGAGAAACTGAGAGCAAACTGGCTCTTACCCTTTGCTTCCAGCTTGTTGTTGTGCCTTCCCGTGCAATCACATCTCATCAAAGTGATGTAGCTGTTTGTTGGGGTTTTTTTCCTAAAGGTCTCATCATTGCTTAGATTCTGACAATCTGAAATTACTGAGTCACCACCAACAGACATTTAGAATAACTCCTCAAAGTGAAGTTAAACTGAAAACACCATTAGCCATTGTTAAAGAAGAAAAAAATCTCATCACAATATTCTATTTATATCCTAACGATTGGGCTGGGTCCCCTCAGCACCACCCTCTGTGTCTCCATAAGGAGATTACGCTTCTCCCTATGAAGTGAAAATTACCTTCTTGTGGGCAGAAAGCGTTTAATTATGACTCTGCTTCCCTTGTCTCCATGGCGATCCCATGCAAACAGCCTGCTTTATTAGCCCTCATTTCCCCCACCCCCCCCCAAAGTCATAAATCATCCCTGCGGGGGCTCGAGCGTTCCCGGGGACCCCCGGACGGGACCCGGCTCCGGCCGCGCCCCCCGCTCTCACTCGGCGAGCGGACACTGCGATCGCCGCGGGACGCGCTCCGCTCTAATCCCGTTTGGAGCTAAGCGGCTGCATCATTTCAGCACTCACCGCAGGAAATATGTTCCCAATCCCTGCCCGGCGCGCTACAAATTGGCGGATGATCTCGGCGCTCCCCCGCCCGCCCCCCGAGCGCCGCCGGGGCCGTTACCTGTGCGCTCCCCGGGGTCGGTGAGGATGCTGGGGTCACTCTGCGACCTGCCTCGCGGGAGAAAGCAGCCGGTCCCTTCTTCCGATGCAGCCATGAGGTGGAGGGCGGGAAGCTCAGAGGAGGGGGGAGGAGGAGGCGCTCATGGAGCCGGAGGCGGCCGGGGGACAATGGGGACGGGGGTGCGGCGGCGGCGAAGGGGCGTCAGCCGGGCAGGACCAGCCGCGGCAGCATCTTCCCCGGCGCCGTCGGCAGGGCTGCGGCGGGCGCTCCACCGGTACCGGGAGCTCAGGAGGCAGCTCCGGGCTCCTCACGGGGGTGGGCCATTCTGCCAGCCGGGGTGGGGAAGAGCAGGGGCGCGGGCCGCCGGCCCGGCCCCCCGCCGCCGCCGCCGCCGCCCCCTCCCGGGACGCCCCTTCCCGGGACGCCCCCTCCCCCGAGCGTCGCTCCCGGAGTCGCCTCAAGCAGCCGCGCCGCTGAGCGCATCCGTTGGAAAACATTGGGATTCTCCCATGGTGCCCCGCGAGCGGCCCTGTGACGTCACGGCGGGGGGGGTGGGCGCCGCACCTGCACTGCACAAAGGCGGGGGCTCCGCAGGTGCGCGGGGTCCGCCCCGCCCGCGCCTCGGCCGGGGGGGCGTGGGGAGGGGCCGCCCCGCCCTCGGCGTGCGGGGGGAGCCCCCCGGGACCCCCCGAGCCCTCCCCGACCCGACCCTCGGGGCGCTTCGCGGCGCGACCCTCCGGCACCGCGGGCTCAGGGTCCGCTGCCGCCTCCACCCGCGGCTGGAGAAAGAGGAAGAGGAGGAGGAGGAGGGTATCTTGGGGAGGGTCAGAAAGCGCCGGTTCCCCGCGGCAGGACGCGCGGGGGTCGCACTGCCCGTGTCCGTGCCCGTGTCCGCCCCGCCGGGACCCCGCGCAGCCCGGTGGGACCTTGTGCGGAGCCGGCGGGGCCGCGCTGGGGCGGGCGGGGGGCTCGTGGCAAAGGAGGTGTCGCATGGAAACCCCGGGAAAACGGGGTATTCCGCCTCGACTGAGTAGCTCCGTTTGGGAATTTGTTTAAAGCGAGTATCTGGTTTCACGGGTTTTTATTTTAAACGCAAGGTCACTTCTCCCCGTCCTGCGCAACTCGGGGCTGCTTTGCTGTTCCCGGTGATGCGGGTCGTCTTTCCTTGGAGTTTTGACCTGTAAAAGCCAGGGATACTTTTTAATCACTGTCTCGGTCCTGTAGAATGCTCAGACGGCACTTGGGATCGTGTAGGTTCTCCCCTCGTTTCTTACAGCGAGGCAGTGCTTTAAACGCTGTTTTGTCTTTGCCCGGAACTGGTGCTAAGGAATGCACTCACCTACAAGCACATTTCTTTGGCTGACTTGAGCAGCGGTTGTACGTGAAGCTGAGCAAGCTCCTGGGGTTAGACAGATATAAGTTTGCAAAATTTTAGGGATAAAACTTTGTGTCAGAAAATTTTCCATTAACGCAGTCCCTCATTCACCTACAGAGTCACTGAATGAGTGACGTTGGAAGGGACCACAGTGAGTCATCTGGTCCAACCTCCCTGCTCAGGCAGGTCATCCCAGAGCACATGGCACAGGATTGTGTCCAGATGGTTCTGGAATATCTCCAGTGAGGGAAACTCCACAACCTCACCTGCACAGTAAAGAAGTTCTTCCTCATATTCAGGTGGAATTTCCTGTGCACCAGTTTCTCCCCATTGCCTCTTATTCTATTACTTGGCACCACCAAGAAGAGCCTTGCTCTGCTTCTCCAGAAATACATGGAGAACATTTTGCTTATCTTATATGAAGAAAATATGCTTTAGCCATTTCTGAAAGCAGGTGCAAACAAAGCAGTTCTGTGGGGTCTCTGGGTGGATTTTACCCCAGGTACATCCCATCTGTGACACTGAGAAATGTGTTTGCCTTTTTTCTTTATCCACCTGCACACATCTTGCTTGTGAGTCACCTTTGGGCTGTGTGTCTCCTGAGGTTTGGTCAACTTAGTGGCCTTTTGGAGAAAGAAAAAAAGTCTGTGAGCCTACCTTTAATGGTGGAGCTTGGTGAGAAAATTCTTCCAAAACTCCATTTGAACAAGGGCTGAGTGTGGCTGGGGCAAGGTGCTGCATCTAATGAGTGGGAATATTGCCATGAGAACAGAAACTGAACAAAAGATTTAAAGTAAAATATCAAAGAGTTTCTCTTTCAATGAGAACTGTCCCTTCTTGCTGTGTATAAGGTAGACCCTGAGGAAGAAGAAGCATGTGGTTGTGTAATCTAAGCTGTGCCATCATGCAATGGAATACATTAAGGTGCCAAGTGAGATAATGAGCCAAATCTATTTTTAGTCCCAAAAAGAGAGGAAGTAGCAAGTTTTAAATGGTTTTTCTCCATATAGCTTTTAGGTCATGCTAGAAAATGTTGATGGTTTCCAGTGAATTCTGTGAAAGTCTGTTTGCACTAATCAATAGAGCTGCCTTCTGAGATGGAGAACAATACTGATTTCTTGTTTAAAATGTAAGGTTGAAAAGCTCCATATCAGATTTAAAGATTTGTACAAGATTGAATGTACTAAAATATTTTTCAACCCAAGAAAATATCTCCAAGACAGCTTTAGTAGCTATAGAAGCACAGAAGATGAGATGGATGTATTTTTAGCCAGCTGACACACTGGTTGCCTCTATAAAGGACACTTTACAGGGTTCCTTTGGATCAAAAATATTGTCTGGTAGAAAACAGTCAAACAAGATTGGAATCTGCCTTGCTGTTTTCACTTTGATAAAGTGTTTCATTTTCTCTCCCTCCTGCCAAACCAGGCACATCTGAGTGCCAAAATGAGTCTCTACTCATTCTGGGAATAAATCCCAGGTGGGTTCCTGCCAGCTGAGCGAGCTGCTCCTGGGCCACCTTGCTCTTCCCAAGTGAACCATCATCATGTTTGGAAGAGGGGGTACCAGAAATAAAAAGTGTTAAATTATTTAAAGCTATGGTGCTAACTAATCTTGTGTAAAAAGTATGATTACCTGCATGTCTTTTACTTTCAAGTTGCATAGATGATGATGATGATGAAGAATCTATTTGCACTTTTCACTACCTTACCTTAAAGCAGGCTCTGCATTCCTCCTGGGACAGAGCTTTGGAGAGGAAAAATCTGTGGGAGGCAAACTCCGGTCTTCATGCTGAAAGACCAAAATGAAAGGAGCATTTTCACAGACATAAATCAAAGCTGATGAAGGCAGGCACTAACCAATATATTCCAAGTATATTGATTTGTAAATCCCTCTGAAATTGGAATGAAACTAAGCCTGGTTCTTCCTGTGGGTACAAAGCACCTGACAAATTGTCCTCAAGTTTCCATTTACTACTTGATATGATTCTGTAAGTGTCACAAACAAAAATATTTGGAGGATCAGAACCCTATTAGTAGAAACATGACCCTCCTTTGATTTGGTTTATTTTCTCACTCTAGCAGTCTTGTGGTAAACAAGTTTGCAGCATTTTCCCAGAAAGTACAATGATCTGATACGTTTAGTTCTCTCTCAGAGGATTTCTAGCCTTTGATATTTATGATGAAAAGTTATGATGAAATTTTTCTAGCTTAGTAGCAGATATTTCTGCAACTGGCATCCATTCAGTTAGAGGAAAATACTTCTTAAAATGAAATATCCACACAAGGAACACAAGAGGGAAAATAAAATTTATGTAATACTATTTATTTTGATGCGTAGTCCACAAGCAAACCAATGCAGGTCCATTTGATACGACTTCCCTTGATAAAAACTTTTAAAATGCAACTATATAAATGGTGTGCATGGTTTGATTAATTTGTTTTCTCTCCAACAGCTGAATGCCTGTTTTATGAGCTGGTTATATAAAGAGGAAACCAAACTTGTGTTAGAAAGGAATGATCCCCTGAGGAGAAAGGAAAGAGGTGAGTCATGTCAGTGCTGTTTTTCTCGAATCAGCAGAATATTAAACAACCTCATTTTCGTTAGTTTGAAGCTGCACGTGATCTCTGAGCAGAACTGATGTTTCTTTTCCTGTTGTTGTTTAGAAAAAAGAATTCAGGGTACATTTGGATTGACAGTATCAGCTTTCATGTTCAAATTATTCTGATGGCCAAGGCACAAATAGCCCTGCTAGGAGCAGTTTCTTAGATGCAGCAGCAGAAAGCATTTGCTCTCTTGCTTGTGAGTCTTAACCTAGTTTTTGAGATTTTCCTGCCAGCCCGTTGTAGTTCAGCATGCTCCCCGTAACAATAAAGAGGAGCATTCCCATGTTCAAAAGGCTCTTGTCTCTGTTTAATTTGTGGGGTTTTTTTCCCCTCAGATGCTTTCTTTGTAAAGAGGCCACGGGGCCTATTTTGAGCCTGCGTTTGTCGAGACGATCCGTGCGTGTCACTGAGAAGAGACAAAATGTCATCCAGCACTCACAACTTCGGCACTACAAAGACTTGAAACATCTCCAAAGCACAGTGATGTTCTACTATGGCAAGCAAATAAAAAATGAATAAGCATCAGGGACTTGTTTATTGGTGGCCTGGTGTGCACACTCACAATGAACATCTCTGATACTCCAGAGCTGTTCTGGGACTCGCTGGGTTCCACGTTGGCTTTGTTTCACAGCTCCAGTGCTCCTGCTGGCATTTTACATGGGAAGGAACAGGAGAGGAAGAGGTGGGGAAAAATGGAAAGGAAGACCATCAGAATCACAGAATATACTGACTTGGAAGGGACTTAAAATGATCATCAAGTTCAACCCATCCCCAAGAGTCACACCCTGTGCCTGAGAGGATCATCCAGACACTTCCTGAGCTCAGCCTTGGTGCTGTGCCCACTGCCCTGGGGAGCCTGTTCAGTGCCCAGCCACCCTCTGGGGGAAGAACCTTTTTCTAATATCCAACCTAAGTTTGGATAACTTGTACCCTTATCAGAGATGTCATTTCTCTTTATTATGTATTGCATGCAAACAGTACATTCTGATTCAGATCTCATCTTGCTGCCAAATCTGGAATAATTGTGACATGTAATTTTTTCAAATTAATTCGAATAGTGAAGATCATTCAGTTGTCAGCAGAAGTGGAAAGAGAAAAGTGATGTTCTGTGCTAATTGGATGAGAGCTGAGGAATCTTTGATGCAGAGCTGCAGGGCAAAATTCTGATTCAATTCACGTTGGTGTTTCAACATTTACTTCAATGGCATTTTGTTATCACCATCAGTTCCATTTCTTGGGTAACACAGGACTTCAGCAGCTGGTGTTTCACACGCTGACCATGATCCACAAGAAATTCGGCTGTTGGGGAGTTAAAATACTTTAGGGGTCAGTGAAACATGGAATGAGTGACCAAGGTTCCTTCAGTAGGTCACAGTTTGCAGTTCCTGAGGACCTGAAATATAGTGAAGATCATAATATTCAGGATTTATGAGCATCTCACAGAAGCTACAACCTCATATAATTAAGAGCTAACTTGGGCTTCAGTTTGTGGAAGGAAATATAGGAAGTTTAGAGTCAATCAGCAGCTGAAGACAAGAAGATGAAAGACCACATTGATTAGAACTCACAATAAACAAGGTCCAGCTTAGAAGAGCAATATCTGTTTTGAGACTGAAGTCGTGTATCACAACTCCCCAAAAGTCATGGTTCCAGTTCCCATATTATTATTATTATTCCCTAATAAAACTATTATTTAGTTTTATATCCACCTGGGATAGAGTAATCTTTGGGATGGTTCCATCTATTCAACCTCCTGCTCACCAACTTCTGAAGCAAGACTTGAGAAGGAAAGCAGAATAGCTTTAAATTCAGGAATTTTTAGTTTCATCTTAAGGAAAACTAGGACTTAATAACATTCCTACACAGTAAAGTTACTGCTTTCTAAGAGATGAAGTCAGGATTTATGTAGTGCTTTACATCCTCATTTAGGCAAAATATGTATGTACAGTAAGATCACTGCTGTGGGGGTTGTGCTTCTGCTCTTTTGCAGATGCAGAGAGTCTTTTTGAGAAATTATTCTTCAGCAAAGACTGAGCTAACTTGTTTTTCTGTTGAAGTATAATTTCTTGGACAGTTGTGTCGTGACAGCTCCTCACCTGCTGTATTGCAGCTCAGTGTGCTGTTTCTTAATGGTGCCAATGCCACCTTGCTGCAGGCTTTGGAAGGTCAGGCTGCTCAGCAATTTAATCTCAATTCACCTGATGGACAGAGGCAGTGGTGGTTTCTCTGGGGTCAGTCCTACTGGTGAACTTTTAGCCTGAAAAGTGAGCCCAAGGCAGAATTGGATGGATCTCCTGTTGCATGACTCAAGGCTGGAGACTGACACTATCAGAAGCAAAGTCAGAACAGTTTCATCATGGAAATTTCTGTGCTATTGTAAAATACACTTTGCTTCCAAACAGCAGCAAACTGTAATCAGGAGAACACCTTCAGACTATGCAGCTGTGATCTCATGTATTTTGGAATCAAACCCTTTAACATCTTTATCCACCAAGTAAAATGCAGCCTTGCCTGGCACACTCTTCCAGTGAGGTCAAAAGTCAGATGGTTTCTACAAAGAGTCCCACCGTTTTCACTTGTGCTTCTTATTTTTATATAATTATGTCCTTCTAGGGCTGGACACAAAAGAATGCATTGAAAAGGAATTCCTGAGGTGAGTTTAACACCATCTGTGTACCACCCAGATATTTTAAGCCTCTCTCCTACAAATTACTTCTGCAGGGCCAAGTCCTTCAAGTTTCAAGGTCCGGTTGCACGGACTACATTTAGACTACATTAACATGTAGTCTAAAAATGTTTTATTCTAACCTAATGGGAAATACAGAGACTTGGAACACAAATCTTTGCTAAATATGCCATTAATTATTTACAAGAATGAATCCTCAGTAATCTTGCTTGTCCTTTGTAAGCAGGTGTGTTGGAGGTGGATGTCCACACAGCTAAGGATTGTATGACTGTGGTATTTAGAATTAGGTAATCATACTCTTGTTTAATAAATTGGCAAACAGGTTTTTTTTGCTGATGTTGCCTTTTTCCCCCCTCCTAGAAAGAATAAACTGGAAATAAGTCCAACTAGATCAGTCAGGGGAGATGCCAGTAGGTTTGCTGCTTCAAAATCATTCAGAAGTCATGAATTATTTTAACATTTTGTCTTCTTTCTCCCTTGGCTTCATGGCTGTTACAAAAATTCTGTTTATTAATGCACCATGAACTGAAGCTGTCAAAATCAATCTCTTTCTCCATTTGTAAAGATGTTATATATGTGCATCTGAATGGTACAGTATGTACTTGTTAAATTTTCATGTGAGCTCTGACTGGATTTCCTGAAAAGGAGACCAGAGACACTGTAAAAATGCCACAGCTTGTGCATTCTGCCCAATGCCAATGTCACCTACACATTGTTTACAGAGATACATCCAATTCTGTAAAACACAGTGCCTGGGACCAGCTTTGGGTCCATTTTATATTACTCTTGGGTTTTAACCTGCATTTTCCTATCCAGGGCAATGAGGAGCTCTGCTTAAGACCATAGGGAGCTCAAATTAATTATAATTGGCAGCCTGCAATTCCTTTGTGCTGTCAAGGAAATCCTGGAGCTAATGGATGATGCTGCAGACCTTTAGCAGTGGTTTTACACTCAGCAATTTGTTCTTTATTTGGCTGAATAAATATCTGATGGAGCTGAGAGAATCCACTGAGGAAACACTGAGGAAATTCTTGCTGTGCCTACGAGAGAGCCACAGGAATTACTGAATTATTCTGAAGGGTAATTTTGCCATCCAGCCTTTATTTATGCATCTGAAGGAACAAATACCAATGTATAACTTCTCATTAGTAAGACATTTTACAAGAGACTAAATCTTTAGGCCTTGATCCCACAGAAATACCATGTTTAACATAATGTGAATAGTTCTTCTCCCTGCAGCTTGTGTTCTGGACTGGAATTTCTGTTTGGTTTTCCTTCAGGACTGATCCTTTAGTGCTATTCCAGCCAAGGGTGCAGTTCTTCCCAACGTTTTACACACAACTCTGGGGTTTGCAGTTTCACTTACGAGGTAGCTTTTGATGGATTATTTTTTTCCCTCTGCTTTGAAATATTTGTGTAGCTCTCCACACCACTCTTGGAAATCATACTGACGTGGTTCTTGATTTTATTATCTTCTTGGTCACAAGGTTAAGTTCAACACTACTGGTAGCAGAAATCCTGTGTTTTCAGGTTTTAGTGTTGTGCTACTCTAAAAATAAGGGTATTTTTTTTCAGAGTACATCTCCTTGCACTCCCACTCTGCCTTGGCACTGTCATGGAATGTGGGTCAGTTGTTGTCTGGGCTGCTTCATATTTCAGCACTATGGTTGGCTTGGATGCTCCCAGAATCTGCCTTTCCCTCAGGGCATTCTGACCTGTTGTACTTTTTGTACTCAATACAAATACCATGGAATTCTCAGAGACAGATATTTGCCCAATGAGTTTTGAAAATGTACCTCTTTTTTTTTTTTTTTTTAAAGAATCCCCACATAAGATAAAAATTGAAGTAAGAAATTTAACAGTCCCTCCTTGTCCTGCTTTTGGCTGGGGTGTGGAATGTGCAGGTTCCACACAGCTGCATTTGCTGGCTGTGTCCTGCTGAACTTCCTGGAGAGGGTCAGCCCAGTGAACCACAGCTCTCCACGTGCATCATCCCTGTCCTCTGCCTCCCAGCACTCAGGATTTACCCTGGGCTCTGCATTGTCTTCATGTGATGCTCTGATGTGGGAAGCTCAGGGAAAGGGAGAAGCCTCAGGCCTGTTTTATGACCTGTGTTTTAAGCACAGTAAGACACTTTTAATAGCCCAAAATAGGCACCCATTTTGCAACGTGATAGTCCCAGCTGAGAAGTCCAGATGGAGCAGAAAGGAATGGTTTTCCCTTCACACCACCATTTGTAGGATGAGGAAGAAATCTGGCACAACTGGAGTTTGTTCAAGAGTCAAAGGGTCCCACATTTTGATCCCAATTTGTGAGACACCTTATATACTTAACCATGTTCAGTTTGTTCTATATAATGTCAGGCACATCAATATTTGCATTTTTGTTATGGAATTCAGTCCTTAGGAAAGAACAAGCCTTGAGTCAGTGCAGAAGGCTGACACAAACACAAGTGCCTTCTCTCTCTCTAGACTTGATAATTTCTTAATAGATAATTTTACATTCTCTGATACTGAATCTCTTCCTATCCAGTGACCGGCTCATGTACCTGGAAAAGGTGATAAAGTTTGGTTTTGAAGCAGCTTCAAAACAATTTATTAAATATGCAGGAATGTGATCACATTTACCAAGGGAAAAGAAGGAATGTAACTTACCTTTTCCTCTGCAGCTGACTGTGCCTTAAGTTACTGTCTGCTCCTCAGTGAGCTGGTAAAGACGTCAGGTCAACGGGTCTGGAGACAAAATAGAATCTGAATTTGTTCTCATTTAAACAGATTATTAATTTTTTTTCACTTTCTATTCACATTCAGAACCTCAGCTCTGGTTAATTGTAACTAAAGGTGTTTCAAGCCCGTTTTTACAAGCTGTTGCAGAGGGGCTCCCTGTGCCCTGGGTTTGATCCTCTTTGTCAGAAGCACGGTTTTTTCAGGGAGTCATGGCTGACTACAGGGGCAACCGAATATTTTTGGTTATTTTGTGTATTTTTAAACTTGGGAGTACAGGCTACAGAGGTTTTTTGACTGGCGGCCACTAGAGAGCACTCCGGGATTGTATCTTTTCCAAAGTAGGGTGTGGTGAACTACAGTGTGAAGTTAAATATGAAAGGCTTTTTTTCCCATTTCTAAAGAATCCTACTGTCTTTTGTACAAAATAGAGTATATTAAACCAAGATTTTAGCACTTCTGGCATTTCATTTTACACAATTGTTGTTATTCTTGGTGATTTCTTTCATCAACATTTAATTCTTGCTCAGTTGAGTTTCACTGGGATCTGTAATGTAGCCAGGAAAAGTCCCCTATAGTAATTAATGTATGGGCTGTTTTTACTGTAAGACTGAATGCTGATGCTTTTCTGCATTCTGTACAGATAACCTGGGAGGAATCTAGTTCTGGTTTAGCTTAGTCCTTAGAAAAACTTTTACCTCAAATCATTATGATCTGAGCAAAAAATGAAAGGAGTGAATCTATGTAAAACACATAAGCAAACTCTGAGAAATGGTGATTTAAAGGGAAAATGCTGCATGACTGAATGTGTTCGTTTCCTTAGATGGTGTTTCCTTATGTGATTGACACCGTATTTTTCTAGATCTCATATGGCCCATCTTCCATATGCCCCCAGAAGAGAAAATTGCATTATTTTCTTTTGGAGTACCTGTACCTTGAGGTGGGTTTTTTCTGTCTTTTCCTATATCCTTTTGAAATCAGCTGTCAGAGACCTTGGTATGTTTGTGCTTAGTCCTTTTAAAGCTCCTGTGTGCTTTTGGGGGGACTTTCTCAGCGACATCATTGATATCTTCCAGCTTATTTTATGAGCAGAAGATGGAAAGGCTGTAGCTTAAAATGTGGCAGTGATTGGAGAAAAAAATATATCCTCAGAAGATAATGAGCAGCCCAGAAGTCCAAAGTTTTCCTCATCTGCTGTTCTATTTACAGGGAGTGATTAGTGCAGCTGTGGTCAGCAAAGGGATTGTCTCAGAATGATGTTTCCTTACTTAACAAATTGGTGCTGAGAGGCAGAGCCACTTGTTGTACTGCAGTGAAATGTCACTGTCAGCATTGAGTCAGAGCAGCTGGAGGGGAGTGAACTGGATTTTGAGGAGATTAAATGTTGGGGCCAGCTGTGTAAATGGGATATGTGGGGATGGGACAGACCCTACTCATGACAATGGTATTCATCACATTAGAGCCTAAATAGACCAGGCTAAAAAAAACCCTACCCCGAGTTGCAGATCCCAAAATTAGTTCACCAGTCTGTTTATGTGAGCGTTAAACTTGAAATCCTAACCAGGATTGGTTTGAAGTACTTGGTGATAAAGCCCACATTGCTTCTATGACAAAAAATAACTCACAGGTGTCCCTGTACAATTGTTTGGGGTTTTCTGTAGCTCTTCTTCATGAGTAATGAAGAAACTTCATAAGAGAGACTCCATTTCTATTTACCTTTCCAGTACAGGAATGCTCAGCTGGGAAGTGATTTGGCCACATGGAAACTGTTACTGGCTTTAAGTCAAGGGATGAAATGTAAAAATTACTCAATTTGTTTAAGCAACTTGGAATAAACAACATTCAGGCTACAGTCTTTTTTGAAATTCTGACATCTATAAACTTTTCCGGAATATGTAGAGTTTTCCAGGAGTTTTTCTGGACTTCCTGGATCAAGAGCCTTCCCAGGAAGACCTAGATTGAGACCTATGCTATGATTTACTTTATTGAGAAATTCTCAAAGAATTTCCTAGCACTTTCTTGGAATCACTTGATCTAGATCTTTTCTAGGAATTTCCCTGACCTTTGCAGGTATTCCTGAATGTATAATCTTTCCAGGAATTCCTGGACTCAGATCCTTTCTAGATTTTACTGGACCTACACCCTTTCTTGAGATTTTCTCACTGTCATGGCAATTCCTGCATCTAGATCTTGAGGTACTTCCTGTGCTGTTCTAGTAATTTCCCTTCCTAGGAATTTTCCCAGGTGTTCTAGGAAATCTTGGATCTAGACTCTTTCCAGGAATTGCCTTCAAAAGTCCTTACAGGAACTGCATAGTCCCTCACATCCCATATGCCCTGATTTTGCTTCAAGGTCTAGAAATAGTTGTTACCATTTTTTTCTGTCAGGATAAGCTGCTGTCATATGCAGAGTTGAGTAGCTATAGGCATTCTGTAAAAAAAAAAAAAGTGCTTGAATTCCTGTTTTAAAATGAAGTACCACAAAAGGGATTTTTTTCTCTGTCCTAAAATTCACCACAGTATCCATTCCTTCTAGGAGTGCTGATAAAACAGCTTGTGAGGGCTGCATTCCTTCCTTTCTCTAACTCCTGTGTCCCTCTCTCAAAGCTGCTTCCCCACAACTTCTTCAGAACAGCATTTTTACCAGAATTTTGAAAGAATTGTAATTTAAACCTGCATCCTGTCAGAAATAGTCCCCCTTCCTGCCGTGCAGTCCCATCAGTCAGACCCTGGGCAGTGACTTTAGGATCTAGGGAGTCTGTCCCTCTTCTGCCAGCGAGAGAAATAGAGAAATTTGTGCCTCTGAGCAAAGCACATATTTCAAGTTACCTGACAATAAGAAGAATATATAACAGTGAGGTGTTAAAGCATAATAACACAGCAGGTAATACATCCCATGAGGACAAGTCTCAGCAGTAGGAAAGTATCAGCATGCCAAATTTACACACTAGAAAAATGACTCACATTGACCTTATTAGTTAATAAATGAACTCCTAATAGGTAATCCATGCAAAGGCAAGTTATAAAAGGTTTACTCTTCTCCTTCTGCCAAACACTTGGAGCCAAAAATGTTAATTGGACTTGAAAAATATGTTGATATTTATCCCTTTAGGGCACTAGAGTTTTAAAGTGGTGTCTGGCTATTGTCCTCAATCCCCAGTTAACTTTTATGGCCTAAGTGAGAGTCAGTCCAGTCTGCCCAGAATGGGCTGTTGCAGAAGGGATTATATTTTTCTGAGCAGGACAACAATGCTCAGGACACAGGGACAGTGTGGGGGTGTCTGATCAATGCAATGTGTCAGAGCTACCTGAAAATTTTTCATCTTAATGGCTTTCTTTTAGCACAAAAAAGGTGGAAACCTGTGCATGCTTTTGCACAGGTCTCTTACCAAGCAAGGTGTGATCTACAGATACATGTGTTCTGCACCAGGAGGTGCTGGTCCCTTATGATCCCAGCAAGAAAGGCACTAAGCTTCTCTAAAGTATCCTTAAAATGGTATTTATTACAGTTAACACTATAAGGAAAGAGTAGTATAGACAATCTTATGGCCCAAATGAGACATGAACTGGGGTTTGAACCTATGTGGACCATAATGATAAAGGCTCCCACATCCACACTGTTGGTGTTTCCGAAATGTCACAGCACTTAAATGTTTCATGTACCTCATGGAATGAGTCTGTTGGCTTTTAGCTTAACATTCACTAAATGTACTTTGTACCTACTGACAGTAAAATTGTCAGTGGATGATCATCAGCTGAGCTAAGGTACCTTTTTCTCTGCCCAGAATAGACCAAAGCCTGACTTATGCCACCTTCTAGGAAAAAAATGAGACACTTGGGCCTGCTGGATGGAGCAATGGCACCACCTGTCTTTGGGACTCTGGTAGTCAAATAACAGCTTGCTCAACTTTAACACCAGCTGGTGTTCAACACACCTGATACTTCCCAAAGCCACCGTTCAACTCAATTTCAGGAAGAAATTTCCTGACATCGAGGTGTGTCACGCTGCAGAAATGCAAGTAAAATAACTTGCTTTAATCACTACAGAGAGTTAAAATGGAACTGCAAGACAAAATGCTATAAAAATACTCAGCAGAGGAAGAATTAGATAATTGAGTGGGCTGCAGCTTGAGCATACAGGATTCAGGAACACAGTTAGAAGGTTGTAGTTTCTCCATTCCCTTCCTTCCTTTTCATGTCACTTTGTTTTACATCAGTTTAGGAAAACCAGCCAAAGCACCCATTGCTGTACCATCACTGAAACGAAGCAGGAACCATTTGTTATTTTGTCACTCTTGGAACAGAACTGTATTTTTGGAAATGATAGAGAAGAGAACAGTCTACATGAGCCAGTTGTTAAAGCTTCACACTGCTGTGAGTTCAGTTTATGACTCGAGCATGTTTCATAGTGTTGTGTTGAACTTACCTTCCTTCCCACTAAGCGTGAGTCATTCTTCTTGGTTAATTCTGATAATAAAAATACATAATGGAAGCCCTGTAGGATGAGAAATAACCATTGAGGTGCTGTAGGAATGAGGGAGTCAGCTGCCTGTGTAAAATACCCTTTGGAAAATACAAAATGCCTCTTTCATAATCATTGCACAACATTAGTAGCCAAAAAGCAGCATTTGAGAAGAGCTTGAATGGCAAAACTGTCATGACAAGGTAGAGAAGCCACTTTTTTGTGCCTGCCAGTGTAACGTTACATTGAATGGGTGTTGTGTCAAGAGATTTACTACCATCAGAAATATGAAGAACTTAAAATTAAGAACTAAATGACACTGGCTTTGTAATGCTTGTAAATGATGTTACTCAAGCTGGCTGGCTGGCTTTCATCAAAACTGGAGTTCATTTGGTCAAATTGCCAACACATATCTTTTCACAGCTTCTTTCAAGCCAGCTCTAATTATAACTTTAAAATAGCATCTTTACTGGCAAAAAAAACCCTAAATCTTCAGACAAGACATGTGAAAGCAATCTATTTCCCTTAGCTCAGATATCTTATTTAATTTTTTTTTATATTTCTTTTTCCCCAAGAAAAGCACATGTTTGCTAAGTAAATGTTTCAAACAGGTGTTTCATCTGACTGAATTTTTTTTGTAACTTCTTTGGCTAGATTAAGATTTAAAAGTTACATACATAAAACAATAGTTCTTTTTTTCCCCCATGTTTTATCATCTAGTGTTTTCTGTTTTACTTGTTGCAAGCAGGCAATATCTAGCGGCAAACTGGAAATTAAGATTCTAGAACTCTCATTCTTGCTTTACATGAGCTGTTTGGACATGTCGTGAACTAAACAAAACTAAAAGGCCAAGCAAACCTATATTTTGCCCATATATTATAAAGGCGGGAAATATTAAAATTGGATAGGTCTCTACTCTTTTTGATGTGGATTTTTTAACCAAACACTAATGGTGCTGGGAATTTCATATTGCAATTAACTGCTGCTGATCAGTCCAGCTGTTTTAATCAGCTCTGTAGTATCTGCTATAACATCACTTTGCCTTGCAAGTGTTGAACTTTTCATCTTCAAAGCTAACACAGATGATTTCCATAATTTTCCATTTGTGCAAATACTCTTTGGGATGGAGCTTTTCACTTCTGAGCGACTAATGGCTCCATTTACATCTGCCCAGTACCTGGAACAGGGGGGTTTGCTGGGAGTTGCACTTCTGTTCACTCTCAGGCATGAGGTGGTTGTGAACACCAAAACTCTGCTCAGAATGTTGTAGCTCAGTAGTTTCATATCTGAAACTGTACCAGTTACCTGCAAACCACTTATTAGTGTCTTCTGGCCTTAATTGAAGAGAGAATTTTTGATCTATTCTCATCATCTGCCTGCATTTTACTGCTTCGTGTTCTTTCAAAATGCACCTGAAAGCTGCAGAATGTCAATCTTGTAGGCCTGGGGGTGTTGGACTGAAGGCCTGTGGTGGCCTGGAGCCAGTGATTAAAGAGTATTTCTCAGTCTTTCAATTCATGACACCGAGTACAATGTTTAGTCAGAAATGAGAAGAGGTTACACAAAGTTAAGAATTGAATGTGGTTACTGCTCCAGATTTGGTTTGGTCACAGTTTTTAGCATGTGGAGTGTGTGGACTGTGAGATGTTTGTACCTGGCAAGGTTTTACAGTGGGTTTACTCAATGGGGAAGGAATCAAAGAGCGTTGTCCAGGAAGGGTTAAAAGCTCTTGTGCTTAGTGGACTGACCTGAAGCTCTCAGAGGATGTGATGGTGTCTGTAGGAACACAAGGGACACAAAAAAAGCAGGGTTATAATGACACTGAGAAAGCAAGTTTAAATAACAACCTCAGCAGACACTTCATTTCTCTTTTAATACCAGTATAGGATGTGTTTGCTGCAGTGAAAGGTGAAAACTTTATGACTAGGTCTTTTCTGGTCCTCTCTGTAGTAAGATGTAAACGTGGAGGTTTAAACAACTTGTGGAAAAAAAATCCAAAGAAACAGTTAGCTGTGACCTCAGGGCTGGTTTGGGTTGGAAGTGACCATCCAGTTCCACCCTCCTGCCATGGGCAGGGAAACCTTCCACTGCATCAGGTTGCTCCAATCCCTGTCCAACCTGGCCTGGGACACTTCCAGGGATGGGGCAGCCACAGCTTCTCTGGGCAACCTATGCCAACCTGTGCCTCCCTCACAGGGAAGAATTCCTTCCCAATATCCCATCTAACCCTGCCCTCTGGCAGTGGGAAGCCATTCCCCCTTGTCCTGTCACTCCAGGCCTTTGTCCAAAGTCCCTCTCCAGCTTTCTTGGAGCCCTTTTAGCTTGGAAAGCTCCTTTAAGGTCTCCCCAGAGCCCTTTTTTCTCCAGGCTGAACAGCCCCAGCTCCCTCAGCCTGTCTCCACAGCGGCTGCCCCGTCCTGTCCTGGCTCTGTCACTGAGCTGGGACAAGTCTCTGATCAGGGACACACAAACAAGTCACTTCAGGGCAAACTGTTGTGTGAACTTGAAAAGCATCAGCTTCCCGGCAGCGCTGCCAAACTGACATTCTTACCCCAGGACAGGGAGATAATCCACCTCACATTCACCTCCTGAGGTAAGACAAGAATTTACCCCTTTTTGAAATAGCTACTTGTTAGGCTAAGGATGTGCATGTATCTATTTCTCATGGAATAGCTGGAGCTCTTCAAGATAATACCCTTGCTTGCCCTGCAGAAACTTCTTGGTGTGTTCCAATCCTCTGAATCATTTTTGTGGGCATAAAGAAGAAATAATGTTTTTAATAGTTCTGTTGAGTAGTGGTAGGAAATCTCCAGATAAAAGTGGAAGAGGTTTAATAATCCCTTTTTTACATATAAGATATAAATTATTTGTCAAAGGATTAGGAATCAGAACAGCACGCTAGGCTGGCTTGTTTCTAGTTTTGATTTGTTACAACTAAAGCTGTGGGAATAACTTTTTTTTCTGGTTCCTCAGTTGAATGGGAAGATCGGAAATCAAAAATACATTGTTTCCAGTTCACTTAAATTAAAGGCCCTTATATTTTTTCCACAAATTGCTGTGGAAATTAACTTCTGAAGGTAATTTTTCTAGAAAAATAGTTTCAATATCAGTTTAAAAAATATTTTTTCCTTTACATAATTTTCTCAAATGAATGTAGATTCTTCAATAATTCAGTGAACCTAACTTTATTTATTTCATTCTATTCTATTTCAGAAAGTGAAGATTAGTCTTTTTGGCTGAAAGTTGGTGTTCAATAGATGCAGCAGCATCATGGAACTGCACCTTCATTTTCTCCATTTAGGAGAAAAAAATGCATTATTTAAAATCTGAGATTCTTTTTATGAATCTTATTTGTAGACTGAATGCTTTTTGCTCATTCTAACCCAAGCACAGACTCTATTTAAAGGTAAGAAATTGCAGATGTAAACTATGACCTGAGCAGTTGGGGTTCACCTCTTTATGTGTCTTCATTGATATTTGCTTTATTCGTGTTCTCAGAGAGCCCTTGTTGGTTTGGTGCTGCCATTTGGGTGAATTCCTAGAGAAGATGTTAATGGAAGATCCTAGAAGTCACAGCTTTTATATCAAGGGGAAGGGATGGCTGGAATCCATTGCCCTTCAGTGCCCCTGGCCTTGAGCCTGACAGGTCTGAGGGTGAGTAAGAGCAGGACCACTCCTATGTCTTCTCCATGGAAAGGAGTTGGTCTTTTGAGCACAAATTCCATGCCTGGCACTTTCAAAATTTGCTGCTACATTAAAATAACCCTCTGCAGTGAGTGCACATTGTGCACTTATGTAAATGAAGATAAAATGGAAAGTAAAGTAACTTGGTAATGTTTGGATACCACAGAAATTTATGGGCTGCACAGTCTCACCAGAAGCATGTTACCTTTTCCTCTGGGCAAAATAATGTGCTTAAGCTTCTAGTTAATAATTTTTAATTCCTTCAGTCTACACAGCAAGGGAGGAGAACATGTTTTTAGCAAGATAGAGCTGTTAACCAGCTCAGATTTCATATTACACCTGACCACCAATTGCTTGGCAAAAGGAGCATGTGTAACATGTCTTAGCCTGCTGGGTCTATACAACTTTCTCCCTCTTCCCTGCATTTTCCAGGGAAAAGAAGGTTATGTTGGTGAGGAGACCAGTGGAAGAGCCTGATCTGTTTTCTGAACTGATCTTAACTGGGGGGTTTTTTTCACAAAAGGGAGAAGTCACTGAGCAGAAAATCAGTCAGTGGAAACTTCTGAGACATTTCTGAAAGTGTAAATCTGCCTTGACTGCCTGGCTTGGTTTTAGAGATGTAAATCTTCAGCTTATCCAGGCATCTTACAGAAAACCTAGTTCCTGAAGTTTCTTTTTTCTCCCAGTGTTTCCATCCACATCCTATTTACAAAGTAGATTTAGTACTATCCTTCAAGAGCACTGTGGACAAACAGCGGTTTTGTTGTTTGTGCTCATTCTAGCAGAGTAACAAAGAAACCAATTTCACCTGTGCAGGCAGAAGTGAATTTTGCAATCCAAAGCCTGAGGGCACCTCTAATTACCCCTGGAGGGTGGGGCTGGCTGGGGCAGCAGGGCTAAACTGGGCTGGTGAGAGAAAACGAGGTGGAAAAGGGGTTGCTTCTCTTTTTTTCTCCCTCCCATCCCCAGTCACTGCCCCCTGTACACTCAGACCCCTTCTTCAGTGACAAAAGCTGCCCTCCAGGTTCTGCAGGAATCTGGTGCAATGAAGTGGGGCACAGTCCCTTCCCAGGCCTGTTTTGGTGTCAGCAATCTGCTTTCTTAGCAGATACCACTGACAGCCATGCCTGGCAGGAGCCTTGTACCTACACTGTACGTGGGGAGCTGGCAAACCTAGGGCAGAAAAACAAGTTGGCAGGGAGAGGTTTTGCTGGAGCCTGCCATGGCAAGGCTGCTTCTAATTCTCAAGGCAAGGAGGGGGAGAACAAGCAATTCCTTAATAATACAGTTTTACAGCAGTGATTCCACACCAAGCTGGCAATGTTTTCACAGTATAAAGGGTTTGGGATGATCCTTGTGAAAACAGAAATATGAGTGCCATCATTTCATCTAAATGCCTCACCAAAAGCTAAAAGATTTTAAAATCTTAAATAGAAGGCAGAGTTGGGTTTATTTGTCACTGAGATTTTAAATGAGGATTCATCCCACTGCTTTTTAACTCCACCGTGAGTGTGACCAGCTGCATTTCATCCTGTGATTTGGTTCAAGTGGCACCTGGATCCAGCAATTAAGTCTTCACTCCGTGCCCCTGGGCGTATGATACATGTGTAAGGAAAACAGAGGAGGAGGAAATGAAAAGAGTGTCCTGCAAAGAGAGCTTGAAAATATAGTGAAAAGGAACTCTGGAAAGATCTAATAAAAAGCCTAAGACAAATAGCTACCTGATAGAGAGTGTGGTGGCTCTGCTGACAGCAGGGCCTGAGTAGAGCAGGGCTTTTCCCAGGATGATGTGGTGCCTGCCATCAAATATTCCCTTCCAGCTCAGCTTCAGGGGGAGTTGATGTGAGAGCCAACCAAACTGCACACAGACCTTGGAAAAGACTTTGAGGTATAGTCATTTTTTTTTAATACATTTTCACTTCGCTGTGGTTGGTGTTTTTGCTCTTGTCTTTTGATTATGTGCATGATTAAGCATCTAAATGCTTGTCTTTGTGGGGGTTTTTTTGTTCCGTTTGAAGTTTATTTTGTTTGTTTGGTCTGGTTTCCATTTGTGCCAAGTGAAAATTAATACTTATATGCTTGTAAATAACTCAGTTAAGATTTAAAACCAAAAAATGGAAGGGTTTTGTATCCGTGTCCAGCTCCTTTAGGAAACCTTGTTTTTATTTTATAAATTCCCAGTGCTTTCTTGTAATTTGGAAGTTCAGTACAGTAAAGTTGACTGCCCAGAAATCATGAAGCACAGTTTGGCAGAATCAGTCACTTCCAGTTACTGTTAAAAGGTGTATCTTTGCAGAAGAAACTGGTAATTGCTGTTAAATTTAGAAGAAAAAATAGGATGAACTATGTAGTTTGTTTTTTTGTTTTAATCCAGCCTTATTATATTTGTTTCTGTCTATGTTTTCAAGTCTTCATTGCTGTGACTGAAAGAGTAACAGGAGCAGAAATTATGCCTAAATTGGATTGTCCTTCTCGGGCAACTAATAATTAAATCTCCTGCAGCCTGTGCTGTTTACAGGCATTGGAAGTAATTGTTAGGTTTGAAAGAAATACACTAATTTTGAAAATGTTTGCAAATGTCTCAGACATAATGGAGATAAAAGCCAGAAAGAGGTTATTGCTCTAGACAATATAACCCTGGCATTTCATTTAGCTCCACAAACTGTTTGGATTGTTATCTGAGGAAGGCTTCTGTTCATCGCTTTTAATTTGATTTCACTGTAACACAACACTGGCATTTTAGATGGTTTTGTGGATTGCTATTGGCAAGGTTATGAACTTGGTTACCACCCTTATCTTAAATGGGATTTTTTTAGAAAAAATGTTTCTCAATGTTCTTTCTTCCCTTGGTGTCCAGAACTATTTGATATAAGGGGAATTTTTCCTTCTTTGTATTTTTTCCTTAAGTCATATCTTCTGGCTTGTTCCATGAGTTTTCCTTACTCAGCTGGTGGTCTGGCTGTTCACAGTTCTTGTCTGCCTGTATCTGTTCTTCTGAAAGCAATGAAATTCTCACTGTGAAAAAGTTTCTATTTGAAGTGGGATGGCGGCATTCCTCTTCAGTGTCTGTTCTCTGTGTTCCAACATGGCTTGCCTCTGGCTGGAGTTCTGCATGTCTCCAAGGATATTACTAATCTACTTTGGAAAATAATGGAAAATCTGTTTTACAACCAGTTTAAGTCTTTTAAACTGATTTTGTTCCAAAATGAGTCCAGTCCTTCCAAATTTAAATTCTTGTCTTGAAAGAAAATATTTTTGTTTTCCACTCTGATAGGAAAAAACTACAAATAAAAATCCCTATTAAGATTAACAGTGATGTTCTTAATTAGTTTTGAATGAAATAAGATTTTTTTTTTTCTTGCATAGTACTGGAATTAGTAGCAGGATTATTTTTTCCCCACTTGGAAAAGAGAGATAAGTCAGTAACATTTTGTCTAGTACTTTAAATTTAGCAAAATTACAGTAAGTACTAAAAAATCTGTCCAAGTGGGTTATTTAACCTTGGTCTGGTTACCCAACCCTTTTGTCATTTATTATCCAGTTATATACTTGCAATGTTATTCTACTTCCTTCCAGCCCAGTCTAAGCCAACTTCATTACATCTCTTTTCAAAGCACATTTTTTGTATGTGTTCTAGTGTGACTACAATTTTTAGCTTTTTTTTTCCTGTTTGGTTGAAGAACATTCTTCTTTTTTTTTTTTTTTCTGGCTATGAAAGCCTTGTAGATTGGATCTTAACCCTGAAGGAAAATATTCCAGATCCATCTTCCCAAGTATACCTGTCACTGGTTTTGCTTTATCTTAGAAATAAATGCCTTGGAAGATGAAAATGCATCAAAATAATTCTTGGATTGTGAAAGTACAGTGATCTGTATTGGCTAATGATCCATCCCCCAGTGTGTGGTAGGAATCTGCTCTTTCCCTTTCAGTCTTGGAACATGGAACTCACTTTACTTTGGGGCAATTGCTGCATAGTCTTTTATTTAAATGCACATAGATAGGAGTGCCTTGACAAGTATTTCTGTTTCATAATATCAGTACTTAATTTTTTTGAAAGAATGTTCCCTCTTCACCTTTAGGTAGAGATAGAGATCTCTTTATTTACAATACCTTTTATTGATTGGTCTTAATTACTTTTTGAAATTATTCCCATGAATCACTGAGGTCTAGATTTTTGCATAGTCCAGCAGACTCTGTGTGTTTTTATTCCTTCTTTACACGCACAAGTTCTTAGATGTTCTTCCCTCTAGTCTATATAGGGAATAAAATGGATAAAGATTCACATGAGTTGATAGGAGGCTGGATTTCTTCTGCATGAATGAGGAAGTAGAGACTGAGCTACTGAAATGCTGGCCCTGCTGCAGTCCCTGGAGCTCACCCTGATTTCACCATGGCAAGGGTTTCTCTCTGTCTTAAGGGAACTTTGCATGTTACATCCTGGGACGTGTTCTGCAATGCTCAGTCTTTGTAGCTGAGTCTGGACACGTTGGCTGTCCCTAATTAGAGTAATCTAGGAAATTTAAGCAGCTGAGCTTAAAAGTTAGCCTTGAATGTGGATGTTGTATACAGATAATAAATCTCTTGTAATAGTTGTTTAGATACTTGCCAAGAGTGATGCTGGCTGAAATTGTTTGAACAATATATTCTCTTAAGACCATAGAATTTCTTTTCTTTCTTTTTTTTTTTTTTAAATATTTTTCCCAAAATGGAAACTATGGCACATACTCTTCCATAAAGCAAACCTCCATCTCTTATCATTTCTGTATCTCTCTTCAGGGAAGAGACATAAGATGGCAATCATTCTGTAGAATGGTCAGCATGTGGAGTAAAGAAAAATAACTCTTGCCTATATAAGAGAAAAAAATTATTTTTCTCTTTGTGAGACAATAGTAATAGTTCTGTCCTTTTGCCCTGAGTGGCAGAAGGTGACAGTGAAAGTGGAGTATTGTTTTAGTAATAGTGGAAATTCT